ATACATGTGATACGATCACACTTCCGCCTTAACCCGAAATCACCTCACATGATTCTACTCCGCTTTAGCCTACCCCTTAATATGGGTAATTGTCAGATGATCGTAATTCATTCATTCTTCTTTTCTCCCTCTGGGATAAATAAAACATCATTTCAATAATTTCTCAAAGAGTATATAATTTAAAGGCATGAAGTTAAAAGCCACGATTTCATATATGTTATGCTAATTATGTTAATGATATCATAATATCATAATGAACCATTCAGAACAATTAAAAATAAATAAATAAAATAAAAAACTAGCATTCGTACAAGTTTTGATAAAATACACAATATATATATATATATATATTGCTACGCATTTCATTTTGATATTACTGATGTTATTTAAATCAAAAATTTATTCTTAATGCAAATAACATAAATAAATTAGCCACAAAATAACGAACGAAACGAAATCCTTATTGTATGTTGTAAGACTAAAGTAACGATTTCTATATTTAGAAAAATGTTTTTTTTGTAATATATAAATAATCCTTAAAATTTCGTAACATCGAATTCTCACCTATTTTTAAAAATGGGGCAATCAAAAGATTTATCACCAGCACTTCTTAGAGATATTTCTAATCTTTATAAAAATGCAGATGATTATAATTTACATATAATCGTTGGTGAAGAGCCAAAATCCGTAGTTTTTAAGGCTCATTCTGTGATTTTACGTGCTAGGTCTTCTTATTTTAATACAGCTTTATCTAATAACTGGGCGATTAAAGATGGAGATATCATGTATTTTAAAAAACCAAATATTTCTCCTGATGCATTTCGGATCATTTTAAAGTATGTTAAATCACCAAATAAAGAAATAAAGATTAGATAAGTATCTGAATATTAAATTACTTAATAATTTTCTCATAATTTTTAAACCCATTTTTTATAAAGATATATTTATACAGGAACAATTAGTCTAGATCTTGTTAACGGTGACGAAATTAATTTTGTTGAACTACTTACCGCAGCTGACGAATTAACACTTACAGATTTAGTAGATTACATGCAAGAACATATCATTAATATGGATCGTAATTGGTTCCAACAAAACATAGTTCAAGTTTTCAATACCGTCTCGTGTCATGAAGATTTATTTCATAAACTTCTTGAACATTGCACAAAATTAATCATAAATGAACCCAAAATTCTTTTCACTTCCTCCAATTTTGGTCAATTAAATGAGGATGCTTTACTTTCTATTATTTCAAAAGACACGCTTCAAATGAAGGAAATTCAAATTTGGGAATACCTTTTGAAATGGGGTTTAGCTCAAACTAATATAACTGAAGTTGATCCAGGGAATTGGAGTTCAGAGGAATTTCAGGAATTAGAAAAAGTGCTTCATAAGAATATTCCTCATACCAGATTCTTTCAATTAAATTGTAATGAATATTATTACAAGATTAGACCTTATAAAAAGCTTTTACCCAAAGAACTTCGTGAAGATTTAAAATTATACTTTATCATTCCAAATAGCATTCCGAAAACTTCAATTCGCCCTGCAAGAATTCCTAAATTTGTACTTGACTCTAATATACTTGATAGAAAACATACAGCTTTAATTTGTAGTTGGATAGATCGTAAGGAAGATACAGCAATTTATCTTCCTAATGAAAATCCATATAATCTAAAACTTTTGCTTAGGGGAACTCGAGATGGATTCTTGGTGGAAGACTTTCGAAAAAGGTGTTTTAACCAAGGTCCAACATTAATAGTTATACAAACAAGTTCTTCTAAATCCGGAAAAGCTATAATTGGAGGATATAACTCTTCAAGTTGGACAGGATCAAATAAGTTTACTCATTCCGCAGAAAGTTTTATATTTTCTTTGCGTAATGATTCCCATTCATATATTTCTACTTTAAGTAGGATTGTAACAGAAAATGATGCAATATCAGATGATGATAGTCATTTCATTGGATTTGGACATGGCGATTTGTATATTTTTAAGGGTAGTTGTCAGAAGAAAGATTATATGTATGGAATTTTAGATAAGAATAAATTTTCTATGGATGAATTGGAAGTTTTTCAAGTTGTAAAAGATTTAGAAACTTTACAAATTCCCTAAAGGAGAATTAAAAAAAGTAATTTATAATTATTTTCATTTGATATGTCAAGGATAATTATAAAAAATCTTTTATCAATTTTTCTTTTTTTCTTGTAAGAAATTTAAAGATCATTTATAGAAGGATTTTTTTAGTATTTTCATAATTTTTGATGATATTAAAATGTTTTAATGTTTTAACGTTTTAATGTTTTAATGTTTTAATGTTTTAATGTTTTAATGTTTTAATGTTTTAATGGTGTTTAATGAGTTTAAAGATGGTGCCTAAATATTTTAATTTTTTATTATTATTATAAAGTACGATAACTCTTTCAATATAAGTTAGATCATACTCATATTTTCAAAAAATTTAGTTATAAATCTTTAACACTTTATAAGATAATTATGTGTTTATCGCTTATCTTTTTGTGACCGCAAAGTTCCTGCAAAACTCACAAAGACGTAAAAAAATTTTTAAATAATTTCTTGCAATTGAGGGTCATATAATAAGATTTTCATTGAAATCATAAAATTAATTTCTTAACAAATAAATATATTAAAGTAGACCTAAATTTTTAATCTGTGAATCCATAAAGAAATTACCTATTCTTTATTTTCTTTATTATTCTCTTTATTTTCTTTATTCTCTTTGTTTTCCGTATTCTCTTTATTTTTTATTTCTTCCATTAATTTCTTTTCTTTACCTCCAAAACTTAATTAATCGTAAGATAAAATAATACATAAATAGAATTAATAAATTATGATAATAAAAATAAATGAAAAATAAATATATAAATATAAATATATAAATATAATATAATATAATATAATATAATATAATATAAATAAATAAATAAATAAATAAATATATATATATATATTAACTTACTGATAATATTTAATATAACGATAACCTTGAAATAATTGAACTGATTCATTGGTCAAATGACAAGCCAAAAGTAACCTATTACGAGGTATTACCATCCAGGCAAATCTAGCGAACATGGCAGAATATATACACATAGCTAAAAAAAAAATAATAAAATAATAAAATAATAAAATAATAAATAATAGATCATTACTATTATAACCAAAAGTAGTTAATAAAATTAAAATAAAATTGCTTGTTATTACCAATTGTCATTTTTGGAGATATAATTTCTGGTTCTTTTCTAGAATCAGCGATTGCAGCCAAAGGTAAACCCCAGTTTGCAACTAATTCAAAGTACAAAATTTTAATAGTGTTAATAAATGAATTGACAAATTGAATGCTCTAAAACGTATGCACTTCTAATAAAAACCTGGACCCCAAAAATGCTATATTAAAAAATGAAAATAAACAATCAATAAATAATATTTTATTAAAATAACAAGAGAAAAATTATTGATATTTACCGTGCTGAAATTTAGAGAATGAAGCATTTAAAATTTATTAAATTTTTATTTTGAATTATTTAGTTTATCAGTTAAAGAAAAGTTAAAGAAAAAATTGCAAACATAAAATATATGAAAAAGAAGCTTTGATATTTTGCCTCATAAGATATTGTCGAAATTCTTGAGACTGGACTTGCTGAACTTGTTGAACGAGGCGTGAGGACCAAGTTGCCATGTTTCAATAAGATTAAAATAATAGAAAATTATATCTTTTTTTTTTCCTAGTTAACTTTAAAAATTATCTTTGAAAATTTATATCAATATTCTAACAGCTGATATCTGATATAGTAAAATTATAATAGTTTATAATATATTAAAAATTTCTTAAGAATCTATCTTAATTTCATAAACGCAATTTTTCGAATTTATCGTTAAAAAAAAAAAAAAGAGAGAGAGAGATTCATTCAAATCGTTACCATTTTGATAAATATGATATTAATTGATTTGTGCTACCGAATGGATTTTAATTGATCAACTATAACTAATACTAATAATAATAATGATAATAATGACAGATTATGCAACAACCAACGCAAACATTTATTTATTTTTAAATATCATCATTTCCATTATTATTATTATTATTTATTCCAGATATATACATATTTATCGTGAAAATCAAAATCCATTTTTTGAATTATGGTACTACATAAAAATTTTCAAGTATAAAATTTTTTTTAAGTATAAAATCTTTTTCTTTCTTAATAATTCGAAAACTAAATTGTTATTTTCGAAGATTTTTATGATTTTATCATTATAAATTAGTAAAAAAAAATTTCTAAATAAAAATATATTTTAAGGTTTAATATTCTAAATCATATTAAATCATATATTTTAATTTATGCTTGCTTTATGTTTTATTTGCTTTATTATATTTTGATTTATACACTTTAATTTATTTTTATATTAATGTTTTAAATTTTTTTCTTAAAATGATGATATTAACTTATTTGAATAGGTATAATCACACAAGTGGATATACTTTTATAAAAAACACATTTCCATCAATTCTACTGGCGTTTAAATCAACCACATCTTCAAATGTATCGGTAACAAATCCTGCACCTGAAATTCAACTTTCATTAATAAAACGGTTGTTCAATAATTTTGGACTTTTTAAAACTTCTTTTCTGAGAGGAAAAAATACAAACATAATGAATTCTTATAAAATAAAGGATGCACCAAAATTTATTGGTAAGGCAGAAACATGGAATCAAGCAATTATGGAAGCCGAAGAATTAATTCAACATCGTGGTGGATCACATATTGATCCCATAAGGCTTGTTGGTAAAGATTTTTCGGATTTAACCAAAAACATTCAAATTCTTTTGGGCAGTGGACATCCAATGTTGAATACTGTTAGCAAATATTATTTTACTTCAGAAGGAAAACATATAAGACCTTTGATTGTTTTATTAATGTCACAAGCGACAAGTATAGCACCAAAACAGTATAATGCAGCACCAACTGATTTTTTTCAAATAATAGACAAACCTTTGTCACCATCAATACCTTTAAATCATAACAAAGATGATAATACTTCAACATTTTCAAATAGAGTAAAATATTCATCAATTTCTTCCACAGGAACAATTCTTCCTACACAACGTCGTTTAGCAGAAATTACGGAAATGATACATACAGCATCATTATTTCATGATGATGTAATTGATTTTTCTGAAACTCGTCGTAATAAATTATCAGTTAATATGAACTTTGGAAATAAATTAGCAATTTTAGCAGGTGATTTTTTACTTGCTCGAGCATCTGTAGCTTTAGCAAAATTACGAAATCCCGAGGTTATTGAATTATTAGCCACAGTTTTAGCTAATCTGGTTGAAGGTGAATTTATGCAACTCAAAAATATGCAAGAACACGAAACCATGTCAACATTTGAATATTATCTAGAAAAGACATATATGAAAACTGCAAGTCTTATAGCAAAAAGTTGTCGAGCATCAACAGTATTAGGTGGGGCTACACTTGAAGTCTGTGATATTGCTTATACTTATGGTCGAAATTTAGGTTTAGCATTTCAGGTATTATTAAAATGTTTCTGATTTATCATATTATTAAAAAAGAGATTACATTTACGTTTTATTTTTATATTTTTTATATTTTTATATTTTTTATATTTTTATATTTTTTATAGTTAATAGATGATATGTTAGATTTTATTGTTTCAGCTGATGAATTAGGAAAACCTGTGGACGTTGATTTAAAGTTAGGTTTAGCAACTGCACCAGTATTGTATGCTTGGAAAGATTATCCAGAATTAGGTCCATTAATAAAACGTAAATTCTCTCAAGAAGGCGATGTTGAAAAGGTAAATAATCATCATTATTATTATTTAACTGAGAATTTTTAATAAATTCCCTAAATTTTATCATTATAGGCACGTGAATTGGTATATCGAAGTAAAGGTATTGAACAAACTAAATTGTTAGCTGCATTACATTGTGAAAAGGCTATTGCAGCTATATCAAAGTTACCAGAATCAGATGCAAGAAATGCATTGATTCAACTAACACACAAAGTTCTTATTAGAAAGAAATAATAATAAATTTTGTTTTATAAGAAATACTTTAATTATAATGATTAGTCAATTTCTTTTGTTTATATTTATTTATTTTTTACTATATATTTCACTTTATTTGTTTGACTTTTTTTTCACTAAATATATATAATATAATAATGTTAAAGGTGTAAATTTCATCTAAAATTTTGTAAAAAAATCTATTTCATGAAGCTAAGAAATAAAAGAAATACAGTCCAATAACTAAGAGTATTCACTTCCACCAGTTTTTTTAATATATTATCTAATATTTCATAACCAAAAATGAAAATTTTGTACAAAGAATTTAGAACTTGAAGTTCGACTTTGATTTTTTTTTTTTCCCCTCGGATCAACGGGATAAAGAAAAAACATGCAAAATGATAAATTTTATTCTTTGGTTGAGACGAATAACAAAATGTGACTAATTATTTCTTTTCACATAGTTCATAATAAAATATTCAATAAATCGTATGTCTAATAAATATCTCAAGTTTTTTATTTTGCAATAAAAGAGAAAGTGCTCTGCAACAAATAATCATCATAATAATCATAATAATAACATTTATTTTATATTGTCTTATTTATGAATAAATAGAATTAAATGAGCCAAAGTTGATTCACCATTATATGTGATCACACGAGGATTCGCAGCTTCGAACATCGAAAATTCCAAAAGTAGGACTTGTTTATGTGAATGACAATCAATGCGTCATTTTTTTTTTGTTAATTGATATGGCTAATTTTTATGCTTCGATAATGTATTATTGCAGCAGCTTAAAATATTTAAATATTTGATTTGACATCAAAAAAATTTTTTTTAATTCAAGAAAAATTTTTCCTTCCTACAATTTTTGACGATTATTATTATTACTATTATTATTATTATTATTATTATTATTATTATTATTATTATTATTATATTATTATTATTATTATCGTTATTGTTATATCAAAATAATCAATTATTATAATTAAAATTTCACTTAGGAAATTAAAAATATGAATGCTCATTGTGAATGTGTGGAGTGTACAACTTCCCATATTATGAATGATGATTATAAAAGAGATTTGCAAAATATGGTACTTCAAATGTGTAGATTAATATTTCGAGCAATTCAAGAAGGAATTAACAGAAATAACATGAATGAAGTACAAACAATGACCCAAAAAATATTTCACGGTGATATTAGTTCAAAACATGATTTAGATCAATTCATTCTTATATTTAAATCATCCAAATATTTATCCCACCTTTCTGGAAGTTATGGGAATGATTCGACTAGTAATATTACTTTTTATTTTAATTGGAACATCGAAGATCATAATAATAATATTGATAATATTATTTCAATTAGTAAAGAATGTTACAAACCTTTTTTAGATTACGTTTATAAAATGGATCGTTGGAAACGCCATTGTTGGAAAAATGTTACTGAATCGTCTCCTTACGATGACAAACTTCTTAAAAGTATTATAGATCATTTACCCGGATTTAAATATCTTTACGATTTTCATTGGACTTTCCAAGAACCTTGTGTCTTATTATTAACTTCAGACTGTGGTGTTTTTGTCATAGTTATAATAAAATTTTGGAATCAAGATAGTGAAAAAGAAGATGAACCGGCAATTTATAGTCAATATCACGAATGGGTTAGATTATATAAGGCTTATACCGTTGAAAAGCATGGAAATAAATGTTTAACAGTTATTGGAGCCACTTATACAAATGATCCTGACATAGTGAAACCTCTTGAATTTGTAGATGAAATTGATTACTCAATTGCACGAGCAGTACAATCTTTCGTTTTTAAACCATCAGATATGGAACAATTATTTTCAGGTAACTTTAATCAATTGAAAGTTTTTCATGAATTAAAACTTTAAACATATTTTAAACATAATATTATTTATTAAATAAATGTTTAGCCCCACAAGAATCAACTAAAGTATTTTCGCGTACAAAAACTAAAATTCCATGGACTTCGAAACCTACAGACAATATTCAAATAGGTATCATAATCTAATTCATTATCTTATTCATTGTTCTAATAAACATTTAGTATCTAATAATTAATCATTTTATTCTTTGAAATTTTCAGTTAAAGCTAATTTCAGAAAAATGCCAATAAATCCAGGAAAATGTGCAGCTGTTGTGGGTACAGAATGGATATATGATGGTGGAAATACAGAAAGTGATTACGAAGAATATCATCTTTACAATAAATACAATAATAATAATCGTTGTTACAATAACTATAATGATCTTGATTGGATAAATTATTAGTAACGTACAGTATATTTGTTTCTTAGGTATAAAATTTGTTTGGAGAATATAAAATCACATGATATAATCTTAAAATAATCAACCAATAATAAATAGTTCTAGCCTCAATAGATTTTATAATCCAAATTTTTTTTAAACGGATTTTCTCATTTTCTCATTTTCAGTGATATGATTTTGTTTATAACAAATTAGTTAAAATTAAAAAATAAAGAAATTAATAGCTTATATAAAAAAAAAAATAGTAGTCCATATGAGATTAGCTTGTCATGGTATTAGAAATCAACCATTTTATCATATAATTGTAACAAATGCAAAATCTCCTAGAGATGGAAAACATAGTTCCAGTGTTAAGCATATAGAATGGAAAGAGAATAGAATTAAATATTGGTTAACTGTTGGAGCTCAACCTAGTGATACTGTAGCTAGACTTTATTTAGGATGAAAATTAAGATTATTATTTTATTTATTCACTTATAATTATTATTTTATTCTCTTTTATTATTTATTATAATTTATATTTATAAACTAGGCTGGCATTCTTCTACCTTTATCAAAACCCAGAGAAAAAATTGAAAAATCAAAAAAAAAATTGTGCATCCAATTGATAAAACAATAAATAAAAACGAATTACAAAATTAACTACAAGAAAAAAAAAAGTACAATAGAAATGATTACTGACACAAATTCTTCTTGAAATTAATATATATGTTATAATTAATAAATTTATATTATAATAACATTTTGTTTCTAAACTTTCAAAATCTAAAATTAAAGTAGCTACTTTTATTAAAGATAGTTACTTTTATTAGAGGTAGCTACTTTTTATTAAGGGTTGCTACTTTTATTAGAGGTTAGTTACTTTTTATTACAGTTATAATAATTAAAATATGTAGCAGGTATTATTTTTGTAAAATTATCATATCAGAAATAATTCATTATCATTGCTACATATAAACCTTTTTATTTTAATAAGTAAATATCAAAAATATTATTAAATAACTTGAAAACCAAAAATTAAAAATATCTTCTGTAAAAATATCAGACCTATTACTTTCAAATTAAGAGAATAATGCATATCTAACCTTTTATTTTAAAATCAAATAATTAATATTTAAGTGTTTATTATTCTCTCAGTTCATTTAATGAAAGTTAAAATTATATAAAAAAAAATACATTTACATCAGTAATTATATTAATTCAAAAACCTTCAAAATTATATCATAATGTTAGATTTCAAAGGTTATCGATTGTGGTACAACCCTTCGAAATCAAAATTTAACAGTTAAATTTTGATATGTATTATTTCATTATTGAAAACTTTCAAAGTTCAATGCTAAATTTTTTAATGATAACATAAACTTTCAAAATTCAACAGCTATTATTTTAATGTATTTTGTTTTAGGTTTATCATTTTCAGATTATTTCGAATTTAATCATTTTCATTGTAATTTAATATATATTGTGAAAAATTTCATTTAATTTATTATTAATTTTATTATTAAAAGATGATTATAAATATTTTATAACATTTTTTTTCTATTTTTCTATATATT